TTCCATTTATAATCATGTATGATTATATATAATCTTGCATGGCTGTGTATAGCTCCATATATAGTTATGTATAATTATATATGATTATATATAACCTCATACACAATTCCATATATCATCATGTATGATTATATATAATTATGTATGATTATATATAATCTTGCTTGGCTGTATGTTGCTCTATATATAGTCATATATAATTATATATGATTATAAATAACCTCATATACAATTTCATATATAATCATGTATGATTATATGTAATTATATATGATTATATATAATTCTATATAATTATATATGATTATATATGACCTCATATACAGTTCCATTTATAATCATGTATGATTATATATAATCTTGCATGGCTGTGTATAGCTCCATATATGGTTATGTATAATTATATATGATTATATATAACCTCATATACAATTCGATATATAATCATGTATGATTATATATAATCTTGCATGGCTGTGTATAGCTCCATATATGGTTATGTATAATTATATATGATTATATATAACCTCATACACAATTCCATTTATAATCATGTATGATTATATATAATCTTGCATGGCTGTGTATAGCTCCATATATGGTTATGTATAATTATATATGATTATATATAACCTCATACACAATTCCATTTATAATCATGTATGATTATATATAATCTTGCATGGCTGTGTATAGCTCCATATATGGTTATGTATAATTATATATGATTATATATAACCTCATACACAATTCCATTTATAATCATGTATGATTATATATAATCTTGCATGGCTGTGTATAGCTCCATATATGGTTATGTATAATTATATATGATTATATATAACCTCATATACAATTCGATATATAATCATGTATGATTATATATACTTATATATAATTATATATACTTATATATAATTAGATATGGGACTATGTATAATCTTGCATGGCTGTGTATTGCTCCATATATAGTTATGTATAATTATATATGATTATATATAACCTCATATACAATTCGATATATAATCATGTATGATTATATATACTTATATATAATTATATATGATTATATATGACCTCATATACAATTCCATATATAATTATGTATGATTATATATAATCTTGCTTGGCTGTATGTTGCTCTATATATAGTCATATATAATTATATATGATTATAAATAACCTCATATACATAATCATGTATGATTATATATAATTATATATGATTATATATAATTCTATATAATTATATATGTGATTCCATATATAATCATATATGATCATATACAATTATATATGATTATATAGAAACATTTTTTCTCGGGGTAGTCGGAGGGACGGAATCTCTCACATTTGCCAGTTAATCTGTCTTATTTACTTACAATTGCTGCTGCGAAGATCCTGTACCCCTTGGTTGACCCTTGGAATCGAACAATGATAGTTGAGATACAGGTGGATGGTAGTACTTCGGTAATACTAGTAGATGGAGTATAATTCAGTAATGATATGTAGATAGTGGTACATACAATAAACTTAACTTTATTACACAAAATATGAATTTTTAATATAAGCTCATGACACTTAGGTAACGCAAATTAACAATAAAAATAAAATAATTATAACAATAGAATAAATATTGGCAAGTAATCGCCTAACTATAATAAGTTAGAAATTATTAATATTACACTGAAGGAAATTTTTAACTTCCCGCTAAGAAAATCGAAGATTTTTAAAAATCGGGAAGTTATTGGTTTTACCCCATTTTGCAAAAATCGAGTTTTTATCAGATCTCGACGTTTGAAGGTCACAGGAAGCTTTCCTGACTATCCCCGCGAGGGTGTCACTATGTCTGTCTGTATGTCTGTATGTATACATGTATATATGTATCCGTGAAAAAGTTTTCCGATCAGACTATATCAGGCCTGATATAAGCCGTCTATATCAGGCCTGATATGGAAATTGGCCATATCAGACTATATATGCCTTGATATAAGTATATCAGACTATATAGGGGAGGGTGGGGTAGAGCGGCCCCCCTAAGCCGCTTATTACTTTTTGTAGTATTTTAACATCTTACTAGTTTAGCTTGGCTCTACAATAAACATATTTACCAAAATGTTGGAAAAATTCTTGAAAAAAAAATTTTTTTTTCTGGGGCATAAG